GCTTGAGAACTCTTGAAATTAAACAGTTTGAACCAGAGGTAAAATCACACTTATTTTTTTATTTGGAATAGAGAATAAAAAATGTAGATATAAATCGATATAAAACTTCCAGTGATTAAACTGTTCATCATTTTCAATATAAAAAATTCCGTTCATTCACTCAAGTGAACAAGTAATGTTTTAAAAAATACACCTCACATGTATTTGTTAATTACTATATTAAATAACTTGTCACAAACGGGAAATTAAGTTATTTTCTGAGCTCACCGCTGAGATATACTCTGATAAATCAGTCAGGTCAATATCTAGTTATAGCTAAGTCAAAAACGTGAACGGAAAATTCTATTTTGGGTAACAGAAGTTCACTATTGCCCAGGTTTCCAAAAGTTTGTAATGCTCCAGACGTCCTGGTAAATTCTTTGGGGAAAATGAGATTGCTAGATGAAGCACAGTGTAAACTTAAGATAAAAAACAATCAACTCACAAATACATCATGCTGTTTTAATATTTAATGTTTATTCCACGCCAAAACGATCTTATACATATCGACTTTGACATATATATCATTTTTTGATGTTACTTGCAGTATCATTAAATTAAGTAACTTTGTATGAATACATATTACTTTCAAACAAAATGTTTTCTCTTGTATTCCTACAAAATTAACATGCAGGTTTTTAATATATCATGACGTATTCTAAGTGATTTTGAATGTTTTTTAAAGTTTCGTGATCAAATGACTTCACACATTATTTCTGACGCCTATCAATACCGGTTGTTCAAGGATTATTTCACAGTTATTATGGCAATTGTTATGGTGATCTTATATTGAAATAACCAGATGAATCTTTTTTTGATGGTAAGTTTGTTGTAGTCTAATTTGTTACATGCTAAAATGTAATCCTGATATGCACACCGATTCCATAGACATTAAGTAAAAACGTAATCTAGGGCTCTGTCAAACATTAGCATTAACGAAGAACCATTTAACTCGAAATACGGGAATTAATGGATACCAACAAATTTCGGCATTTACGAATAACGTTTGGGCGAAAAAAAGAAACATGGTAGTTACTAGAAAGTTGAACTTACATATCTGAATGGAAGGATAATAAGGTAAAATAAGTGGTTCTTTATAACAAAAGTAACATTAAGCATAATGATCAGGCCTTAAATATGGTTGAGTGGCGTGAAACCAGTATTAAAATCAAGGAGGAAAATGAAACGGAAATGAAGTACTAAAGTTAGGCGCAACCATTGGATTAATGACTAACCGGTCAGTTTTAATTTCAAGAATATCGACATTCTTTGTGATGAAGATTTTTAGATTAAGATCAGTCGAACGGACATTGTGGTTCAAAACTCATTAATTTGAGATTGTCACACTATGAATGAATTTTCTGCTCTTTCAAGGTTCAGCAATCTATATAAGTTGTTGCAGCGACAAATGTTACCATTGTATTTATGAGCTGGTCCGAAGATTTGCATCGGTCATAGAAGGAACAGTTGTTAAGTGGATACTATTAATACTAGTGTTAATATTAGTTGAAAACGCAAAAGAGAAAGTCTGATTTTAGAAGTTGTGTACTTGTTTTAGGAAAATACGAATTAAAGTGCAATACAAATATACAAAAATTTTATATCCACGAGTATCTCCTAAGCCGGGTAGCTACGTACCAACTATTGAACCCACATCGTAAATCAGTCAACAGCTTAAACCATTTATACTGTAAAGGGTAGAATACTGGATGTGGAATACCTGAAAACAAGAAGGGAAGGTCAAAATGTTTGCGTGGGAACATCAGTGTGACTGAATACCTCGATTAGACAAGAGTGGTCACTTCAACGCCTGCATGTTTACGTCAAGCATACTATTGTAGTGACTCACATTTATCACGAGAACACGACTGGTTTAATAAAAACAATTATTGTTATAACCAATTGTACCAGTGACTGTTTTAATGTGCTAATAACAGCTATATTGTGCTTCCATTCTTGTCCTTACACTTTGATTGTAACTTCGCGCGAATTCGGTTACGTTCTGTAACCAAGCTTCTATCCTGGCACGATCTCGGTATCCTTTCGATACCACGAGATCGCCAGCAAATAAACCTCGACTTGGTTCATTAATTGCCTTCTGATATTTGGCTTCTCGGGGATTTTATGGAGTCATTTGGAAGGAGCTTCTTGGTAGCGGCGTACATAGTCCAACTCAACCCGACACCACGCTACAATTGGTGATCCCAATGTTTGGAACACGCTACACTATCACACTTATAAGCCTGGTTGTCTTCTTCAAAGCTTGATATGAAATGGTGCTCCTGACGACCATGTAAGGTTAAGTCACTTTGTCAGTAGTGTGAATTTGACTTAGGTAGTCATATCGTGGTGAGCCAACTTTAGCGCACTAGGTACATTTGTCTAATAGCACTAGGTAGTACACTTATACTTATCTCTGAGATAAACACTATACAAACCATCTCTGAATCATTCATTTTCATCTAAAGTTCCTGGGGGTTATTTAATTCGAAATTTGTCACTACGCGTGCTGAAACAAAATGAGGGACAATATTAAATTCTTTGTGCCCTCCTCCTGAAGAAAGGTTGTTTAGATAGGGCTTCAGTACGAGGGTTGTGACGGCTACCAAAGGCTTTTGCCTTCACAGTAGCATACAGGAATACTACTTTGCGAAATCCGTTGATGAGTAAATACATTCCAGTAGAATGGATAGAGCGTTTTATATTAACGCGAAAAAAGTACATACGATAACCGATCCATATAGTCTCAATCGTGCTCCTAAGTCGATCTTTATCACCACTATCAGTTCACCGTCTGATGTGCGTAGGTAAAATATCCATGGTGGTATGTATTCATCTTGAAGAACCGGATGGTCAGGGTTCAGTATTATTCTGTTGTCACTACAAGGTGACACTATAACCTCGTGCCGCTATTTAAGCGCCCTTAACACATTATCACACAGACTTAAGTTGGTTTTAATACTGCACTGAGTGACCACGATAACTGTGTCACAAGGTAAAGGGTTCTGACAAAGAATTACTCGAATTATACATATTTCACGTAAGGATACATATGTTAAAGAGCCTTCACGTTTCGCTTGTTACTTTGTTAGGACATATCTCCTACTGGCACACTTGAGATATTAAAAACTAGATTCTCTCCATTGAACAATAATACTTGAGCATGTGTTGCAGGTCACTTCTGTTTCTGTGATGTTTGTGAAAATCGCTAAAATAGGCGGTGGAGTTTAGGTACATATGCAGACGTTAGATTTGCAGCTACAACCCACCTCGTGACATTTCTTAAAATGGTTCATAAGATCCAATTTTCAAGTGCTTGAATACTGTCGACTTGAAAATGTTGTTGTTTTACTAAATCAGTGACTAAGGATGTTCGTACATGATAGCACAGTTAGTAAAGTGCGTCTGTTCTGCTTGCCATTTGGGAAAAATTGATTAGAATCTGAAAATTGCTTGGAAATGAACAAGGAATTTACATCTTTATGTTGATCTTGTCTTCGTGCTGTCTATATACGAAGTGTCCAGCGTCACTCCAGCCTTTCATATCTGGACTAACGAAGGAGAAACAATTCTGTCTCGGCAATGAACCTAATTTTATGCCGATTATTATTTCTGAAGTAGATATTATCCCTTAAAGGTTGACCAATATTATAATTTTTCGGGATGCAAAGGAATACAATTACAAGTGGTTCATATTTATTTAGCAGTTTATAAACCGTAGTTTCCCATCAGAACTTTGTCAAATATGTCCTATGTTATTTTGCAAATCCTATATGTATATGCATCTGGTTTTCTCTCGTAATTTGTTTTGAATGAGTTTTATTCAGTCAAGTCACGTGGCTATAGACTTTCCATTCCACTGCATTTCATAAACCACAACAATGACCCCGAAAAAGATTATGACCATCATCGATCAAGGCAATTAACTAAGTGATATTCCTTCGTTCGTGCTATCATATATTTTTACGTCTACAATACTACATCTAAAAGGAATCATGAATCTCTGTGCTGACATTACGAATTCTTCTAAGGACTTACGCAACTATATTGTTTTTAGATATAATTGACTTCTCCAGGCAATAATGAGTTAGTAGCCACTGGGATACGATTTTAACAAGATGGATGCCGATATAGGTGGTTGTAAACTTTCGAACAATTCTCCTTTAGCGAACTGCGTGCTATTGTGCTGATATTCGCTCCAGCTAATTTTTGTTCCGATGGATTAAAGGTTGTGACTTTCAAGATTTATTGGGCTTGTGTTCAGACTACATGTGTTTGTTTTTTTGAGAACTCGGAGGCAAACCATAGTTATTCATATTTTATATGGCGAAAAACGAAGGCAAAACTGTGATGGACCAAGTAGTATATGAACTGAAAAATAGTATTAAAGTTTTTGCCTACAAATGGAAATGTTATCATATATCAGTTATATGTTATAAACACAATGAAAATAAGGGACTTTACTTAATTCAGCTGGCTTGTGCGCTTTAAGATGGAGTTTGCTACTAGAATTCACAATTATAGATGATTAGTTTTTACAGTCTGTACATTTACCACAAAACGACCCATAACTGCAAAAACTCAGAATCGATGCCTACATGCTAGTGAAGGGATTTTATATCAATAGACCACAATACACTTACATATACCTCAAAAAGTACTATATTTTCAAAGATTTTTAAATAAACATAAACAAACACATTTTTGCTGAGTAGCTGTGTGTGTCCTCATTATTTCCAAATACTTCCACAGACTTTCACTTCATGCCGTCATTTTGCGGCGATAGAGTTCAAGTTGGCTTAGATTAAAAGGTTAAAAATATCGTCGAATATGTTAGAGCAAAATGGATTGGATGTTGAATACAGTATTACTCCAATGTCCTTGACTTCACTATGTACCAGGAAAACACCGCGTATCACAAATATCTGAATATGCGTTGATAAATCAAATCTCTGCAATAGATGGACAGAAATGTTTTACGCCGATCATCTGCTTACAATACGTCAAAATCAGTCAATGATGAGGGAAACAGTGAATTTTCAAATGAAATCTTCGAAAGTGTTTTGAGAAAACCGATAAATTCATCTGATAAACGTTACATAAGAAATTCAGCTCTGCGTAACACAAATGGAGTTTTTTCTAAAAGTGCAAATTTTCAGATATCCAAATGTAACGATGATTGTTTGGATGAGATTCTTATCCTCAGAAAAGTAAGAGAAAACTTTAATAACTATGAGTCTTGATAAAATACTTTTATTGAAACAACCAAAATGTATCATACAATTTAGTTCCCCCTGCTTTAAAAGTCTTTACAAACGTAAAAAGACGCACAGCGAATGTGAAAATATTTTATTTTGTATGAAGCTAAACTAATTTGCTTGATCACCTTAAGCTATTTTCTATCCTACTTTCAACTGAATTCAGTAAACTAAAATCGCCAGCTCACACTTAGATTCCCGAAGCATTAAGCATAGTTATCCCCATGCTTTAAATAATATTCAGCACTGAAAATTCGTCGGCTTAGCAGGTAAATAAAGCTTCTCAATTACAGGAATCGTAAAACCAGTAGCCGAAAAATCCTTATCACCTTATTTACGTTCAGAAACTGAAAGCATCTGTCAGACGTGTGTCACATAAATAGATTTAAATAGTCTTTCTGGTCGTTTCTTCATATTACTCAGAATTTGAGGGACAATTAACAGTATCACTTAGTCTCTTGGCATGTTTAATGTTTAATTTACACAGAAGAGAGTTCATTATGTTATTGATGGTGATGATAGTACATTCTATGTTATGCTTTTTATTCTCTTTATGGTGCGCGCACTGAATGTATTTTTATTCTGTCTTTTGTAGTCATATTTTTCACCTCGAATAGGATTATCCTTTTTTGATAGAGGAATGAGAAGACTAAGTTAGTCCAAAATGTGTGATGAATTTGCGTTATGTTGTGTCAACATTTCTTATTCCTTGTACATTGTGTTAATTTTTCCAATTCATTTACAACCAAGCGAAATGCATCCAATGAGACATAACACTAGAAAAATTTGTTCAGCCTAAAGTTCTCTTTGTGGAGAGTTCAATCTCAAAATGCAATCCCAAACACATAATTATTTTCTAAATGATTAAAATACCAAAAATAGTGATGGTGGATATTTCTTTAAACATGGTGACAGTGAGATAAAATGAATAAAGGAATAAAAGCGTCATTTTCATTAAGGGAACTTATAATAATTTTGTTTTTGAGAGTTTGATTATTCATCATGAGGATAGATAAAGAGTTATAACTTGAAAAGAGATACTCAACGTTACGAGATAAGATGTTTAAAATGAGATGAACTGTAATCAGGAAGACCGTATGAACAAAAACAAATCATTCAGTGGGCTTAAAGGTTCATAGAGAAGCAAATAGAAGGGAAGCAAGTGGCTCCAAATGAAGGAGAGAAAATCTACGAGAGATCAGAACAACGGTCAGTGCTGAGGCTATAAAAGCTTATTTTGTGCACATTATTCTGATTTTTCTATATGAATAAAAATGCTTCGGCAGTGTTCAAAGGACAGAGAGCAACTGCTTTTGACAACTTTCTACTCAACTTGTAGATGTCTTTGAGCTTTGAGTCATTTTTGATCGAATGACATGTGTTTCAAGATGTTTGATTACAGCACTTCTGGTTGAGCCAATTTTGTCTTTCTTTAGTCCAGCGGGGTAGTGTTCTTTAATTCTTATGTGTAAAATATGCATCACGAAACCTGTATACCTTGCTCCACATAAACATGTAAATTAATTTATGGGAATGGGATGAGTTAAGTGAGGGGTTTAGCGAACACGGTCGGCTGGAGAACATTAGTGTTAAAATTTATCAAGGGAGATATTAATATTGGCTAAGTTTCCCATGAAAACGTTGTATTATGTTAAGCTAAAAGCGTTTTTATTGAAGGATATAAGTGTTTGTAGAGCAAGGTAAGTAGAAGATAAACGTCAAATATTATTTGGACGGTAAAGTGGTCTCTTTATTGACAAAATGTAGAATTAAAAATTACAGATAAGTCATTCAAGGTGAAATCAAGACCTCGAATATCTTTATATTGATTTAAGTTTCCATACCACATTTGCAAAAGCAGACAGTGTGTCCGAATATGTACCGAAATAGCTGCAGAAGTGAGTAAAATCAAATGGCTTGCTGAGATAAGATGAAAAATATCGCCTTTCTTAATTGATGAGTACATAGAACAGCTAATAATAGTGATCTTAAATCAGCCTCTTATTTTTTACAAAAGTTATTTAGTGTGTACACTAGGGGCATACAAAAATTCAAACTTCTTCCATGTATTTGAAAACAGTTTCTTGTTGCCTTAAACTTTCCCTGTTATCAGGCAATTATTATTCAGCATGGCATCCTCACATTTTTTCCTTGTTATTCTTGTTTCCACTTACCTTCTAGTCGTATAGTTGATCTCTTATGTTTAGATATGAATGTTGTTAAGATGTATATGTATATATTCAAAAGGTATTGGACGAATATGTCGCATAGTCCGAATGACTTTCATCCTATCATTACAGTATCTGAGCGATTACAACTATTTAAAAGGCTGAATAGTGGATTAATTGAAATAATTTTGCGGTAATGATTTCGCAATCCACATTGACATTCTAATCGTAATCATTATGTGCTCACTAGTGACCGGCTTCAAGACGATTTCCTGGAGTCCTGGTGGGAAGCTGTGACCAGTTGTGTCCAATCTGTGTCGGGTAGAGCCAGGTGTCTACCTCAGACAATGGACGAATAGTTACGCAACCATTCATGAATCGATGGAAGTTTTTTGAAGTTAACGCTGTTGGATGCCAGCTCAGTTGTCTAGAGGTTAAGCATTTGCGCGCGACACCGAAGGTCCTGGGTTCGAATTCCGCATGCAGGGTCATTGATGCGCACAACTGAGGAGTCCAATACCAGGACGAAACATCCATCCAGTGCTTCCAGATTTTCCATAGTGGTTTAGCTTTCGTCGACGCATGAATTCAACTATCAAAATTTATAAATGATCTGACGAACCATAAATTTTCTTGTTAACTTGAATTTTTGAACTGCGTTGTATTCTACTCTGATTACTGAAAGGAAATCATTTGAATAAATTACTGAACTTGGCATCTTACAATCGTCATTAGCTTATAGTGGTCTACCATTTATTTTTATTATCGTTGGCTAAACAGAATCCTACTCAAACATCTAGTAATGTTTTTTTTGAATTGGGTGTCGGTTTATTAACATTTTAGGAGAAAACTTTGTTTTTTATTACAGAAAGTAGCCTTACTCAGTAAACAAAATAAAGATTTAAACGCACAATGCCATATTTTAAAAGAAAATCTGACTAAAAAAGAGAATGAACTTACAATGCTGGTCAATCCGATTGAAGTAAGGAAATGTTATACCTTAAAATTTCGTTGTCGTTAGAGCTCAAAAATAAACCAGAATGCAGGCTGCTACAAACAAAAATCAATTAAAAATATTCGTTTGCTTCATCAAAAGTTTTTCAAACTGCAAACCCAACTTCAAGATAAAGATTCTCAGTACAAGTAAGATGGCACTTTGTAGACATGAATTGAATCTTATTTAATTTTAAATGTTCGTTATTTTCTAACTCAAGTGGATGCCAAAACTATAAAAGGGAGGAGTTACACTTCGAAATATACTTAATGCCCGTTCAATTCACTCAGATGTAGAAAAGTTATGTGTTTGAAAGTGACCACAACTAACTCCCTTTAAAAGTGATGAAAAATAAGGAACATGGGATACTTGTTTTTTCCTGGTTTAAAATTTCACAGAGATAAAAAGCTCCAGCATTACCTACTGGTCACTTTGTTGGGCGATTTACCCTTTCATAGTCCAGTGGTTGATGCTTTCACACTTGAGGATTTGATGTTCTGATGTTTAGGACGGTATAATAAGTGAACTGTCCGATGTAACTTCGGCTTCTGTGTATCTTTGGCGAATATGGTCCATATTGGCTAAATTAATATATTACTCATAGAGTAAAATAAGTAGTATGATGAAAAAAGACGTTTAATTTTAGAAACGTAACTGTTAATTAATTTAGCTTAGAGTTTATAAAAGCCTTTAACAGTCATATTTACTGACATTGATTCACATTCTAAAACTCGTAAACGAAAGAGATAATGATTGATAACTAAAAACGTATTTTAGTCCATGAAGTTGATATAATCTTCCAGCTGAAATTAATTGACGTAATTAACTGGAACTTGGGAACATTAAAAAATTGATTTGTATGACTGATATTCTTTTAGTGAAATATGTCTACAAAAGCTACTAAGTGATATGCATATAAGAGGCTTGAATATTTCCATTCTGTGAAAGAGTAATTATATCTGTATTAGTAATTGGTAATAGAACTAGAGCATAAGTTTCGTGTTATTTGATGCTTGTCATTTAGGTTTACTTGCATCACAATATTCACGCAAGATATGACAAGTATTGTTTTTATTAGTAATTACTTCAAGATATTAATTGCTAGTAAGTTATAAGTCGGATTCATTTGTAACTTTATGCAACTTATTTTTATAAAGCGCTTGTTATAAGTGATAAGTCTTTCCAATTGAACGCTATATTCGGTTCTTCTAGTAACACTCAAGCTGGAAATACACAGCTACTTGAACACGAGAGAAAAAGCGCAAAATATGAAAGAAACACTCTACTCCGAAGGTTCATTTATTTACAGAAATTATAGGGTTTTTATAGTATTTTAGATGTCCTTGGATTTTCCCGAAAATTCTAGAACACGACTAAACATAGTTGCTTACTTAGTTTCTGGTTAGCGTTTTTTTAGTGAGTTAGTTTTCTACGGGATGGGGTCGATAACCCAATGCCCAACCCTCCTACTTTATCTGGGCTTGGGACCGGCAGTAGCCCCCGGAGGGACTCCAGGCGGAGTTACTAAACATAGTAGCAGTGTTACAATTGATTGATCACTGGGTGGTGATCAATGTCTTGCTTGTCTAGTCCTTATTAGTGCAGATCGAATGCTATCGATCATGTTGCAATGTGGCCACCAGTCTAGGTGACTCGACACTGCGGGCACTATGTATTGAGATTTAGATGGTGGTTGGAGGTAGTCAACAGGAAACCCGGGTCCAGGGTTTCCTGTTGACTACCTCCAACCACCATCTAAATAGTAGCAGTGTGTTAATCATCCAATCAGAAACTTGAAATGTAATTTCCCAACTTCTAGATGTTTCTGACAAAACCCTTAGTGAACGCTGATTGGATAAGATGCCTCTCAGTGTTTTCGGAGCCTTTCTTAGCTTTTTTCCGAGGAGTTTTGTGGATCTCCCCAACAATAAGCAAGACGTTTAACATAAAATAAGATGCTTTATAAGTATGGTAACCTTGTTGAAACAATGAGCCACCAAGAGACTTAGTCATCGGACGTAAGATGATGAATAATTTCATTTAGGTATGAGATCATAACTCGTTAAGCTTATCTGTTAACTGTAATTACGTTATGATCAGAGTTTTTAAATGGTTGGTTAAGATTAACTTCTAAGTTGTTAATAGGATTTTTTTTATTGACATTTATGGACTTAGTTATTATTCATACTATAATCCTCACTTTAATTTTTTAAAGCCGCTTAATAACAGATATGAAATTTACTCGGGTTGAAGAGTTGCGAGTACAGTTGGAGACTGCATTTGCAGAAATTAAGCGACTAAGAGAACAAAATCATATATTATCCGATCAGTGTTCAGAGAAAAAAAGACAATCGACTATTAAGCCAAAAAGAAGTTTTTCCAGTGAAAACAATCAATCTAATTTTCAAATTAGAACATTAGGCAGAGTGATTAAAGATTTAGATCAGCAGAAACAGGAGTTGATAGCAAAGAACCATTGTTTAGTAAGCAAAATTCAAAAGCTTTACAGACATTTGTCATCGAACGATGTAAAAGAGGATATCAGTAAGTCTTTTTAGTGAGTTCGGAATTTCATTTTTGATGTCAGTTGATTTCAGGGGGCTATAGAAACACTGAAAAAATTATTTTTGGCTGTTAAAAAGCAAGTATCTGTAAGCTCCGAGAAGCTACTATAGGTATTTAACCCTGAAAAATCAAGCACAGAAGTTAAAGGCTACTATTCTTAGTGGCAGCTATTTGCAGGTATGAGACCTGGATTCAAGATTAATATTAATAATACTTAGTGTATTGATGCGCCTAGTTACATGGTTTAGTGAAAACACTTAAGACTTATTCCGAGTACCAGTAGTAAAGCAATTAATACAGATTGCTTAATTCTCTTGATGTAATTCCACGTGTAGATATTTACCTTTTATGTCCTTGCTAACTGAGATAAACGTTTATCCGTAATTATCTGGATTCCGTTTTATAGGTTTTTTCGTTAACTAACAATGATAAGCATGTAAAGCAAAGTTCATATTTACTGCACGAATGTAACTTTTTAACGGCTCTAAATTTTCGTTAAGACTAACTACATTTTTATTTTCCAACAACTAGAAATTACTCTACGACTTTAGAGAAGCAGTGAAAAGCAGTAAGCACTGGACAGCTGTTTCGCTCTAGTATGGAAATCATCAGTGCTCATCTTTGGCCTCGCCTTCAACCCAGGATCTTCAGACTGTTGTGTGAGTGCCTAACTTCTAAATAGTTGGGCAATTATACCATGACTTACATGCCTGACTTCAATCAGTTTGTGACATTGAGTATCCATCTTTCATTGCCAACGGTGAACAATTGTCTCACATCTAACATGGTTAAACTTCACTGGCCAGTTGTTCAGTGGTTCTTGGTTTTCACTGGTTGTCTGGTTAGGATCAGTAAAGGGCGAAACCTATGGAAATTCGACCTCCACTAAAATTATTACTAATAAATAGGGATTAAATAGAAATTCGTAAAATGAGTTTCTTAAAAACAAGAATAGCCTACATAACCTGTTACAACTATAATGTAATGAGGAAACGTAGATTATCATAATTGTGTGATATATTAGCGCAATGCATTTGGAGCAATCCGATCACCCATATATTTGTTAAGAACATTTATGTATAAAAGTAAAAGGTCAACTAGACTAGAAACACATAATTGAAGCAGGTCATAAGATTGATCTTAACTCAGCTTTCGTGGTGTTGTATAAAACTGCAAAAGGTTTATTGAAGCCTTAGACATACGAAAATTCAAACCCCCTCCGTGTATTCAAAAACAGTTTGTTCTCACCTCAGACTTACCCTGGTAATATCAGCTTATTATCCCGAGTGATGAGGTTTCAAAATGTTATCACATTATTTATTATTTTTGTCTCCTCTCACCCTCCATTTCTAGTCTAGTTGACCTTTTGAGATTAGATGGTGGATGGAGGTAGTCGACAGGAAACCCTGGACCTGGGTTTCGTGCTACTTGGCACTCGTCAGCAAGGTGTGCCTGTAATCTTGAGGGAACTGGTGCTCCCTGACAGATTCGATCCCGTGTCACCCAGCTTCACTTGATACACATGACATTGATCACCACCCAGTGATCAATCAATTGTGACTAGTTGACCTTTTATTTTTATATATAAATGTTCTTAACAACTGTATGGGTGATCATATTGTTAGAAATGTATTGCGCTAATATATCACATAGTTCTGATAATCTTCGTCTTCTTATTATTGCACCACAGAAATTTATGAAAGGGACTAATTACTTTAAACTATAATGTAATCGATTTCACTACATATTAGTTTCACTGTAAAATATATATCCACGGAATAGCTATGGAAGTCATTTCTAAGTCTTGAATGTTGATCAGGATACACCAGTCAAGGAATCCTATATGATCATTAAGTTTAAGGACACAACATCGTGATGTGCTTAGTTTAGACATTGAACATAATATGTTGAAATCAGACAAACGATCTATCAATGGATTTCAAATAAGTGCAGACTATCTGGCATGTCCGCTTAATGATCAGATAAATTTATTAAAAGATATGATCAGTAATATCTGATTTTTGATTTTTTTAAAATCCTCCTTTTAGCTCCTTATCGTGCTTGTCAGGATGATGAGTGTAATGTGCAGGTGTGTCAGTTTTTTACTAACCGTAATTTTTTTATTGAAAGACTGGACAGTTTAAAACGTCTTCAGAGGATCTTTTGGTGGCCACGATTGTTGGAAGTACTGGTAAGCTCATTTTGCTTGAATCTTTTTAGTTTTCTTTGTAATAGTTTAATTGTTAGTTTAAGGAGTTTCCTTGACACCTGTTTATAAAATAAAGTTTAGGAACCACACTATATGAAGATCCTGAAATTGTTTAAAACTTTGGAGCGATTGTGAATTATAGCTTCTTAGTTAGTATAGTGTCAAGTTGCATTATTTTGAGGTTAAATGGCATGCATTAAATTGAGTAACTTTCGAGAATCTAACAAAGAGTAGTTATAGAATGCATTAATTTTTAAAATAGAAATTTTAGAGATGTTCTCATAGTTTTGAAATATGTGTATTTGACTGTTTATATTTAAGAAAGTGCATGCTTTGGATAGAATAAAATATTTTAGGGATACTCTTCAATATCCACTAACTGTGGATGAGATTTAACAAGTCTGGAATTTCTCGTTGATAAATCATAAGTTTGGAATCAGCAGTGGTTTTTATATCGGATTGGCATTACGGGTTAGGACAAAATACTTTTATCTACTATGCTGTCGTAACAGGAAAAACGTTTTAGAGATTGTCAGTAATGCCTAAAGATTTGTGGATAGTTTATTTGTTAAAAGCTTCGTCGTTGTTGATTTCCATCCATCGGATACTTAGAGAATAAACTGGGATCATGTAAATGACATTAGTCCCACATAGTTTAGAAGAGGGATAGTTCAATTATGTCTGTTAGATAAATAATGTTCGTTGTTTAACAGGTCGACATATGATGGAACTGATAACAAATCATTGTAACCATCTTAGTAACACACAGGCTTCACTTCTACTTGTTAACCACTTTCCCTCCTAGCTGAACACTTTGGTATAAATAAAACGTAGATAAATGAAAGGTCCATGTAATGCATATTAGGATTCATCATATGTATTTCCGTGTTTCAGTGAAAATTGCAGTTGAAGATAAGCACAAAGGCAGGATTAGACATTATTAAACCCCCAATAATTTTTTTCACTTTATGGTCTATTGTAAACAATAATATAATTCAGTATATGTAGACAGAGAATGAAATTGAAATCAGAGATCATTTCAAAATAAACAAGTGAGACCTTTTTGTTTTAAGTAGTTTGATTCACGTAACTTCTCTAGTATGAAGCAGTCATTACCATCTTTTTATAAAATTGTACTGAGTATTAATGCTCTAGATGGTTGTAGAATAGTAGTGAAGAAAATTCTATATTTTTGACTAATATTTCAAATCTATCATTATTAAATTTAATCTACAAGCTTTTAGTTGATTAATTTGAAAGTCTCAGCTTTAGGTATGGTAAAAAAATTGTAATAAGGTGAAAAAACATATTTTAGGCTATTTTAAACTGTCCAATTTTGTATTTTTTTTAGTATCCCACAATGTTACTAATCAAGCTCCAAAAGTATCAAAAATTGTTCAAAGAGATGAGAACATGATAAGTGAATTAGAGTCGGCTAAGGCACAAATTGCTAATTTACAACATTTAAACAAAACATTATCAGAATCATGTGAAAAAATGAAGAAAGATTATGAAATAATGGAGTGAGTTGTCCACTTTTTTATATTTTGTGTGTATAAGAACTGATGTTAGATAGTTTAAGGAAATTAATGAAAAGCCACTGATCTAAATTTAGTGCTAGTTAGGATTTATCATTATGGCACAAACACATCGCTTGAGGTTTGAACTAAGATTTTAAGGTAACACTGTTTATAATTTATTTGGTCTTAAAATGACTGTCTATAGGATCGAGATATTTACGATAATCGGTCACTGAATAGTAACCAATATTATATTGTTTATCCTAAATGATTATTGAATTATAATCATTGATATGTAAGAACTACAATAATTCTATTCTGTGAAACAGCTATAAAGAGCTAATCATGCAAAATGGTTAAAATCCTATATAATGGGTCATTACTGCTCACTGCTAAAGAGATTGAGAATATATAAAAAATAATAATTTCGATAGAACAATGAGAAGACGGAGTTGATCTGAAAAACGTGATGTATTTGCGCTATACATTTTGACCAATCTGGTCACTCAAATACTTGTTAATTATTGTAAATAAAGTCGTTTACTAATTAAAAGGAAAAAAATCATAATCGGAACGTTTTATTTGATGATTTAAATAAAATTCTACATTTTCTTCATAAGATCAGAATACTTTTATACTAAACTGTCAGCTCATCAACAGATAACTTTCGATTTAATCAAATTAATCTCTTTGTAAGTTTACACTCTGCATCACATATGGTGGTGGTGTATACAATAGATTCGTCTAATTTGTCATATAACAACACAGTTAATAAGTTGTGCCAAGTTGACGATGTGTATCGCTTAAAAGACCGTTGGTTATAGACTTTATAAACTGATATCTTAAAAGTGTATGAACTAAATAAGTAAACTGAACCAGAAATTTGATGTGTCAGATGTAGTAAATTAAGTTACTATATAACAACCTGTTCACAAATGTTAAACAGATTACAGATAAATTAAGTGTATGATTTTTAGTACACTTTATAGACAGAAATTAACCTTATCTACTCTTTAACTGTAAGTAACTTTTTAATTGGTAGATATTTGACAAAGAGCATAGTAAGAATCATGCTATAATCTTTCTTAAATCTAATCAGAAAGAAAATAATAGAACAGGAGGCTGAAATTCAAAAATATCAAAGAAAAACCGTGCGGGTAAACGAGTGTCAAACAGAAATGTATGATTATTTCCGGTTTTTGAAATGATTTTAAATGTTTGAATTTTACATTTTCCCTTAATTTATTGGAGAAGCTTATACATGACACCTTGATTTTAGGTGAAGAAAGTTTGAAGCTACTTACTAATTCTTTTCAGTAGTCAAGTTATGTAAATAAATATCAAATACTTCAATTTACTACTACACTGAAAGTGCTTGATAGAAGATCTCTGTTATATCAACATAAATGATTAATGCCACTGGTTAGATTAAATCTCCATTTACTTAACTAAAGCCTTCTAACGATATTAAAACATCACAATTAGAAAGCTGTGTGATCTATTGAATTATTAGACATACTATCACAGTGTTCAGGCACTGTTTTGAGACATACTACATATATTGGTATGTGCATTATTGTGTATATGTTGTTATAACGTGGTATATGGTAAGTGTGTAGCACTGAAAAGAAAATATGCTATATTTCAGTGAATTATGTACATATCCACCATTATGACATTCGAAATAATCGTTAACTGAACCGGAATAATATTAAGTGTAGATGAAAAACGATAGTAACTTTGAGTATTAAACTGAATTCATTTGAGTTTTCTAGTTTTTGATATTCTCTTTTGTCAAAACGTATAATTTAACCTTCTTATGTCAGAATACAGCTAGTATTATAGTATGTTTTGGAAAAACATCCACTAGTTTGATTGAAATGTATTATGTACGTTAAAGAGAAAATTCTTTTAGTAAAAATCTCGATGACTGAACTTAAAATAAATCCAACAGTTTGCTCAGCATTTTGGTTTAAGCTTTTTCAAAGAAAGTAATCAACCCTTAAAATTATCAAGTGTAAGTAGATCGTTCAAAGTTTAACTGTATACTGAAGAAATCTTCAAATCAAGATAACAATACTGATTGTGAGATTTGTTTTAGTGAGTATGAGTAATTTGGTGTAGAAAAGTGGAGAAATTGAGGTAACATAACAGGTGTATATAGATTTGATATGAGGATACTCATTAACCACATACCACCTCTGGTTAGGATTTCTGACGAAACTACACAATTTGATAAATGTTATCAACCAAACATGTAACAGCGTGCATAAAATGAGGATCAATAAACAAACTAATGTGAGTTGGGGTTGTGTTAAAGAAGATAGTTGTTTATGGTATATATATACAAATAAATTGATGAGAACAAATGAAAACATATCTTTGTTGTCTGCCTAATATGAAATAAACTAAAAGGATAAACATGAAATTCAGATTTACCTATTAATTACTAGTTGCCATGACACTGATAATTGTATATCTTCTGAGTTTACCGATATGTATAGGGCTTTAACTGTCAATCTCTCTTTGTACAAAACAAAACATTTTCGTAGGATTCTTGGGTCATATGATTCAGTTGTATATGTAGACTCTATTGAATGCAGTGATATAGCCAACTTTTTTCCAGCTTTTTGAGTTTTTTATAAACTATAATGTATATCATCAACTGAAACATTTATGAAGAAGTAAGGGTGGTTATAATAAACACGAAGAACTTTTATGAGTTTTGGTTAGAATTGTTCATTATCGCGACACACGGATACGTTGTTTACCATTCATCAGTCGATGGAGCTTCGAATATTCATTAGCTAATTTCCTAAATTTTAAACAAACGTTCTTATTCTCTTATACACCATTTTCGTTTAGTTAGGTTTTTTGACCTGGAGGCTCTAACCGGTTCTTTGCGGTTTTAGACTAAGGTGTTAGTAAGCCCAAGACAGTGAGTGAGGATTTTTATTAAAAACCAACCAAAATAGGTTTCACCATCTTGAGTTGACCTCATTCACTCGTTGAGTGGTAAAAACAACCTATTTAGGTGAGATTAGATGTCTTTCTGGATGTCGTTTTTCCCTTGATTTCTTTCTTTTCTTTTATGTGAGGAAAATAAGGAATGAGAACACAAAATATAAAAAGTTAGAAAATGGTGAGTGGTTGTTAAGATGAAAATCCCAGAAAAGGATATTGTAAAACAAGTAAAGAACGTTTCATCTACGAAAGACCATTATGAAGATGATAGAATGCTTTTAATCACAGAAATGAAGAGAACCAGTCTGAAATGAAACACATTCAAGAACGGTTTAGGTTCAATGGTCAAAGCAACTTTTATAACCACTTCCTGTAAGTATCACTGTCCCAATTCGTATTAAAAAAATTCCACTCTTTGTATATTTCTACAGTTAGTTAAGCATTCAAATGCATACTGTAGGAAACGTTATACTTGGTGTTCTAAAACATAAACTGCTACAGAGTCTGGGTATGAACTAAGGTTTCCTTCGTACTTGTTAGATGTTTAATTTCGAATTCCAAATACAGTACATCTGTTTGTGCTTACCTAGTACTGCTTCCTCCGATTGCGTTATCTCTGGAACTCCTAGTTTGTAACATAACTCAAATACTCATAATTATCATAAAAATTATTGGTGACATATTTTATCCCTCACTCATGATTATTAATGCATGATGAACGACAGTGATGCTACACTAGTTTTCATTTTTTTCATATCAAAAACAGTACAGATTAGCTAAACGGCGGCACTACATTGATATCACGAATCACAGTTAGCGTTTTTTAGCGATGGGGTCGCTAACCCCACGCCTAACTCCTCTCTTTTAGCCGTGCCTCCGCCGGCAGTGGCCCATATGGGATACAGACAGAGTTATCGCGAATTCTAGTACACCAAAATATTTGCTTCTGAGATTGAACGGTAGGCTGTTATTTTCATCTGACTGATCAATCAGGTTTAGGTGGGTTATACTACCAGTAAATTTTGACGGTTGTCTTTGATATAGCACTACCTTACAAAAGGTGACCCAGTAATTTCCTAGTCGTTTAGTACCACCGAAAGACGCTGGACATAATAATTCTCGAAACGGATCATGATGACACAATCTCCTGCCACAAATTATTTATGGGATCTAAGATACGTTACTTGAGGATAAAATGGACGACCAAAAAACTTCGACTTATTTACATCATCAGCCTTTAAAAATACAATCAACAACTGGTTTCGTATCGAACTAGCTTTTTCACAGATATTTTAGTGAGAGTTTGTGATAGAAACGAAAATAGGATGTTACAAGATAATTTTGAAAAATCGCTAAACATTGAAGTCAAACATTGTCTTGAATACTATCCCGGTTTGATCGTTAATTAAAAAAATAGGAATAGCTGGCAATAATCGCAATAAGTATTGTCAGTCAGTCACAGATTAGAACATGCTACGTACGTACACAGGTTCAAGATAACAAAATCCCTTTGTAAAGACATAAAATTGTCAGGCAAAACCACGTTTCGTAAAAATAATAATCAGCAACATATATCCACCAAACAGAACCATATTATCTGTGTATTCTAAGTCAACAAGTGAGTTTCTTAGTAGAAGACCAACCCCTTAAGAGTCAGGCGATGAAAGTGTTATTTCTAAGAGCATGTTTATAACAATGTTAAATAAAAATGAGGGAAGTGGATAACCCTGACAAATACCACTCGAAGTAACCAGTTCCGATGACAGTTCGCCATAAACACTGACTCGACCAGTAGTGTTCGAGCAAAGAGCCTGCACAAGGTTAATGTACTTCTTTGGTATGCCTCTCAATGACAGACACTGTCATCGAACCTCACGATCAACAAAGTCAATCACCGCCTTAAGGCCAAGGAATACAACTATAGTCGTACGTCAAAAAGTATGTTTATGTCTCAGGACCTGCCTAAGGATGAATATTTGTTCAATACATCCACGTCCAGATCTGAAACCAGCTTGGTTTTTTTCAGGTTTGCTCTTCTTGAGCTCTAGTTGGACGTTGAATTATTCTTAAAGCTAATATTTTAGACATTACGTTAGTTGAATTGATTCCTCTGTAATTATTGCAAGAGGATTTTTGTCGTTTCTTAGACTGGGCAGATCAGCGGTTGAGACTAGTCAGATGGGATTACGTCCACTTCTCAGATTCTAGCTAAGATTTCAATTAATTTATAGTCTTGAAAAATTCATGCAAGCGACTCGGTAGCCTTTTTGCTGTGACATCTGGTGTGCAATGTGACCACTGCAAAGTTTGATTCCTGGAAGCGTGCGCGAATCTACAGTAAATTCTTACACCAAACTCAGTAAGTTAAATAAAGGCAACTGTAAACTTCCCATCAGTTTTCGGGTCAAACATGATTGGATGCCCTGGGAAGAGTTAAACAAGAAGCTTGAAGTTTACAAAGTAGAGGCTTTGACGATCACATGGCGCACACGGGGAAAGGACTTTATACCTCAAAATCACACGAGATTATTTCGTGTAGTGCTCACTAACGCTACCGATGTAGAGGATATCCTGTAATTGTTTAGGTCGACTGGTTAAGAGTTGACTTCAAACATGTAAGTATATATCAAAACATTAGTGTTCAAGTATTCGTTCACTTCCTTTGTATAGACATTTTATTTCCTATTATCTTATGTTGAATGTGGAAAAGCTTTATTTGTCTGAACAGAGAACCCCACGCTCCACTGTGACGGCGTGACGAGGGTTACCTACAGTCACGAAAATCCTACTGGCCAGCCACTTACTGAAACCAGATGGAAACGTAAGAATACTGCCTGACAAACCATATTCTGAGCTCAATCTCTGATAAATCTCACGAAAAACTCTTTTGTGGAAGAAATATCATTGTGCAAAATGCACCTGTAGAGACGGACCCTAATCACACAAACTCTGATATAAGGGAATGGAAATTCATCATGCAGTCCCTGAAGCTCAAAATCATATTGAATCAACAAGTGGTGAGACTAGCCGAGGAGAATGGAGATTCGGGACTCCGGCTGATGAAGATAACCTTCCATTCCTCCCATTGACGGCTGCAACTCTGGAAGCATGTCGGGTCCACAGATGCCGGTTGCCATCTGGAATCCGCATTCATTTAGATAGGCCACATGATGCCAGGATCAAGCACTAAGGCAAGTTGGAGCTGACCATTCCACTTATGGACTGCCTCCATCATAGAAAAACA